CTTCTCCTGTAGAGTCCCAGGTCCCTAGCCAGGCCTGAATGATTGGAGCAGCCTCGGCCTCAGCCACCAAGGAAAACCCCTGTGCTGCTCCTCGCCTGCCTGTTGCTCTGTGTCCCCTCCTAGCACAGACCTGGTCTGCGTCTTCCCAATGCAGAGCCAGCTTGGTGGGGGCCTTCACTACCCGCCAACACTCTGATCTCTCTGCCCTCAGGCATGGAAGGTCTGGCTCCCCAAAAGACTGCCTGGCTGGACTGTGAGCCTGCTGGTTCTGGCATGAGGATGGGGGAGAGTGTGGCATGAGGATGGGGGAGAGTGTGGCATGAGGATGGGGGAGCGTGTGGCATGAGGATGGGGGAGAGTGGCCCCTAGGACTGCTGAGCATACCCTGTGTGCTGAGGATTGATGTCCAGGGCTGGGGAGATCCAGGACATGAGTTGGTCCCTGGTAAACCCAGGACTCCCGACGCCTGAACGAGTCCCACCAGCCACAGGATGGGAAATAAACACTGCCTTCTAAGTCCTAGGAAGGCTTATAGACCACCATGAGTGAGTAGTTTCCCTGCCCTCCCTGCAGGCAATGGTTCCAACACAGCCCAAGGGTCTCAATGTCTCCTGTTAACAGCCCTGCCTCAGATCCAGCAGGGCCAGCCTCATAGTCACTACCCTTCCCTGGAGATGTGACATGGATATTGGGTCCCTGCTACCTCCCACCCACCTGGTGTTTGAGGGAGGCACACCAAGTTGTACCTGTACAGGGAGGATCAGGTAACATTGTCCCTTCACCTAAAAGTCTTCAAGGACTTCCTACTATACTCTAGATTAAGCTCAAAGTCCAAGGCCAGTTTATAACCCTTGCACAATCTCTCAAGTCTCTTCTCAGGACACATGGAGCTGTGTTCCAGCCTCCCACAGCTCCAGGCCCCCATTACCAGCCCCAAGGGCTCTCACACACCTCTTCCTACCCCTCAGCATGCTCTTTCTGCCTTCCCTGTCCTTCTATGCCCATACTAAGGCTGGTCTCTTCCAGGACACCTCCCTAGCCCCAGGCTTCAACAGACACCGGGACCACTGACCACAGCCTACTCCCACAGTCTACAATCCAGGCTAGATTCTCTAGGCCGTTCTTTCTGATGTCTGTCCTCCCCTGCACAGTAAGCAAAAGATACCTGAGGCCACAAGGCATTTTCCATTTTATCCCCAGCGCCTGGTGTGTACTCAGCCTTCAGTGTGACTTAATAAATATGGAATGAATGCATGCGTGCATGAATGAGCCATCCAATAAAGAAATATATGGTGGAGTCTCATTGCTCAGCTCTCTCCCCACAAAACCCTGTACCCTCGCTGACTTCCACCCGTCCTCCCATGTACCTCACAGCCTGCATCCTCAAAGGGCCTTACCTGACCTCTGAGGCTCTCCTACCCTCTCCCTGTAAGTTCACCTGTGGCATCGCCTCCAGGAATTCCAACAGATCTTGTCCCTACTCACCCAGCCCTGGGCTCCCTGGAAGCCCTGCCCCTTGGTATCATATAAAAGGACCCATTGCCCCAGTCAAGAATGCCAAAGCCTAGGGTGAAGGAGTCTGTCTGAGTCAGGAGCCTAGAGGGGGATTCACACCTAGGGCTCCTAACCGCTCCACCCTCCATTCCCATGGGGTATTTCCTAGAAACCCGAAAGGACCCATTGCCCCAGTCAAGAATGCCAAAGCCTAGGGTGAAGGAGGGTGGGCTCCTAACCGCTCCACCCTCCATTCCCATGGGGTATTTCCTAGAAACCCAAAGCCTGACAGCCACTCGACATTTGTCTATTTAATTGTTTCAGTTTGGGGGTCCCTGAGAAGGGCCTGGATCCTCTCTCCATGCCACTGAAAGGAACTGGGATCCATAATGTGTCCAGACTCTGACAGCACTGGTAAAGTGAAGCTGCACTGTTAACTCACAAACTTTTGCCCTTTCTGTTCTCTGTTCTTCCCCAGCACCTAGACTAGGGTCTGGCCTGAGTGCACTGCAAATATTTGTTGCATGACTCAGTGATGGAGACTGCTCATGTCTCCCTCCTGCCGGAGCCCTGGGACCTTCAGACTACCACTACTTAGAACACAGATAAAGCTGTCCTCCAGAGGCTGAAGGTTCAGCACCTGCCAGCAAGTCCCCAGTGCAGTGAGCTCCTTATGATGAATGGCCCTGTGACAAGCCAGAGTACACATGGTAGGGTGGGCTTCCAGCCAGCACCAGGGGCTTAGGAGACCCAGTCAGAGCAGGCCAATTGGGCTACAGGCAGCTCAGGAGAGTTGTTGGGGAACAGATAGCTCTGGCCACATCCGAGACCAGAGAATGATCCCATGAGGCAGAGCATAGAGTATAGGGTACTACCTTTCCACCCACTGCTGGTAGGCTAGGAAGCAGGGCTCAGATTTCCTTCCCACAGCTGGAGACTGGGTCTCAAGCCTTGTCAAGACACCAGGTAGCTGAGTGGTATAGGGACTGGAACCTGGAAATTAATGAGAATGGGATACTGAGACACCCCACATGCACACAGAGATGCCAAGTCGGGGCAGCTGAGCCAGGTCTCTCAAAGGTAGGAAATATTTACTCAAGGGCTGCTACTGGGACAGGTTAGAACCATTAGGAGGCAGGGCTTGGTGGAAGGTTCTTAGGGCACAAGGGATATGTCCCCATAGAAAATTGTGGCACCCCAGCCTCTCCATCTTTATCTAGGACACTAACTTTCCTCTGATACATACATAGTCCCTTCACGGCGTGCTTCCCAGAATCCAAACAAATGAGGCTGATCCTGCTAAAACTAACCTTGAATCTCCAAAACCTTCTCTCTTTATAAAATGGGTTGACTTGGGTGCTTTGTTATGCTGACACAAAAATAATACATAGACTGTCCTGTGAATGTCCAAAACAAGAAGTAGAGTCAGGCCCAGTGAAGGAGACCAATGAGTGACTTCGTGTGGTAGGCAGGTCAAAGATGGCCAAACATTCTTTCTCTCTCCTACATGGAAGGGTGGAGTTTATCTCCCTGGTCCTCTAATTTGGGCTGAGCTGCATAAAACTGCTGTGACCAAACAAAATGTAAGGTCAATAATGTCATGTAAATTTATCATGCCTCAGCCTAAGAAGCTGTGGAAAGCCTATGCTACCATATCAGATGTCCCATTCCCTGCTAGAGAGCCCACGAGAGACAGACCCAGCCTTCCAGTCACCTCTAGTAAGCCCCCAGGCAGATGAGTGAGCCTTCCTGATGACTGAAGACCCAGATGACTGCAGCTCCAGCCAGAACCACCCACCGAGCCCAGTCAACCCTTTCAATCATGACTGTGGGTGATTATTCAAAGCTAAGTGTTGGGGCTGTTTGTTTAATAGCAATGATTAGCTGGAGCACCCTTAGCTTGGAAAGCACCCCCCACACCCACAAACACACAACATCCCAGGAGTACCACTTCACAATTTCCAGAGGGTGGTAGCCTTCAACCTCTGCCTTTTAGTAAGATGAGACCATCCCAGCTCCTGAATCAACAACCAGGTAACTAGGGTTTCTGTCTCCACATTCCAGCAGAGGGACGCTAACTGGCCCAAGTTGTGCCAGTCCTCTACCCACTGTCCCATCAGCTGAAGCCAGAAGACCAGGTTTTATCCTCAAGGTAACTCAGAAGAAAGGAAGTACACGCCACGCGATCACCACAGGGGGCCTGCATCCAGACAGGCTCGGTGAGTGGCACCTGAAGTGGCTGTGCCTGGTAAGCTGCTCTTGTGAAGTCACCGCCCTGTTGCTTGACTCTTGAGTGTGTCAGTGTTGTCTCCTCAGTCTACCCTGAGAAAGGTCCTTTGGGATGGTCCGAACTTCTTGTTAAGAGCTCCTAGCACGCTCTCCAGCAAGAAGCTAGCAGTACACTAAAATGCCCCATTAAACAAGAATGGGTTCAGACTGTCAGGAATGCTAGCAGTTTGAGAGGCAAGGAGGTGGGAGGAGGGGACTAGGGCTCAAAGTGCAGCTAGTGGAGTCCAGAAAAGCCTGGGAGGGAGTGTGGAGGGAAGTAGGTGAGAAACGGAGGGAGGGGAGGAGGAGGAGGAGGAGGAGGAAGAGGAGGAGGAGGAGGAGGAGGAGGGAATGATGATGCCACCAATCCAGGAAGAAACACAAAAGGGGCCAGGCCAGCCCAGGTTCAGCAGACCACCCACTGCCATCACCCCATTCAAATGCTCAGGGGTTCCCAGATACCCAGTTGAGGCACAAACCTCCATTGCTACCTAAAGCCATGCTCTTTCCTCCAGCTAAGGCCAGAGCAACATGAAGACCCTGCTTCATTCAGTTTCCTTTGCCACCTTCTCCCTCCTGTCTCACGAGGAGGCTCTTGTAAGCACTTGATATCTGGATGGATGGATGGATGGATGGATGGGTGGATGGATGGATGGACAGATGGATCAAAAATGGATAGATGATAGATGGACAGATGGATGGATCAATGATGAATGGATGGGTGAATGGATGGATAATAAATGGTCATATGGACAGATGAATGGACAGATAGATGATGGATGGATGGATGGATGGATGAACAAACGAGTCCTATCTGGTTCCACTGCCCTCCCCCATAACACTGTGTTCTCTTAATGTCCTGCAGTTCTGATACAACACCTGGCCTAGAGCGAGGGACCTCATCACCACTCAGCCTTCCCCTCTGTGAAGTGTGGATGGTTCCTGCCTGCTCAGGCTGGTTCCTGGGAGGATGGGCAGAGACCAAAGGAATGAACTTCAAGTTGAAAGGGCAGGAGAGATTGAACTGGTCTTGATGTGGCCACTGTCACCTTCATCACCACAGTGCTGCTGTCTCCATAACCCCCTCATCACAGCACCACCATCGCCCTTTGTCCTACACCCCCAGTCACCACACAACTGCTAGCTCAATCCAGTGCTTAAGTTATCACATTTAATTGTTTTTCCTCAGGGAACAGAGAAATCAGAAAAGAGATTCACAGCACTCAGAGTCAGGAAAAGGTTAATGGGGGGGTATAGGAATATATTAAGCTTTTGGTTGAGGGAAAAATGCACACAGTCTCTCTCACATCCACTCTCTGTGTTCTCACCTGTGCACATGTCCCTGCTCCCAGACACCTGCGCCCTCAGGCACACACACGTGCTCCCAAGCAACCTCTCACACTCTGACAGACACAGGCATGGGTCCCCTCCTGCTCCTAATCCAAGGACTGCAGAAGCTGGAGAGGCCTGCAGGTGTCCCAGAGCCTAGCTCCCCCAAGTCCCTTGCTAAAACCACAAAGCTGGACTAACTGGAGCTACAGGGGACATTTGCAGGACTCAGCCAGCCATGCATGGGATGGGAGGTGGCAAGGCCATGGTGGGAGGTGGCCTTAGACGATTCTGTTCTCCAGGACAGCCAGTCGCTTGCTCACAGCTTCCAGTAGACTTGGAGTTAAGGACGGACAGACTCAGGGTAGCCTGTGCTGGGCCCCCACTTCCGGTTTCCTCCAGGAACTTTTCTGGGGGCTTTCTCTCACACTCCTCCGTTCTGTCAAAGCCTGGTTATGCTCAGCTGTAATCACCTGAAGGCTTAGCACTGGGGATCCCCACCTCTGAGTGTGGGTGGGGTCCACCCTACCACCAAGGAGCCTGAGAAATGAGCCCATGGGCTCCATATTGGGGGGGGACATATCCAGAACTCTGTATGTCCCACCCTGGAGTTTGGCTTCTGCCTCAGTTTCTTTGACTGCTCCCTAGGAGCCTCTGTGTTAGAAAAAGTCTGCACCAGGCTGGTGCCAAGCTATCCAGCCAAAATTCAGACCTTAGCAGGAGGAGGCTGCTCAGGGCCAAACCTCTTTGCCGACATACCCCAGCATCCTACCCGTTGCTGTCTGACCCTCCCTGCCCACCACAGCCTGGCAAAGGATATGCTTCCTGGTCAGGGCCTGCAGCAGCCCCTCAACCTTGGCCTCGAATCTCACTATAGACTCACAGGCACATGGGTCTTCCTCTGCAGTGGACAAAGGAGAGAGGAGGACGCAGATGAGTGGTGGCAGAGAGGTGGGCAATCGCTGTTGGGGCTGACATGGGGTATTTGGGAGAGGAGGACAGGACAGGACAGGAGGAATAGACATCAAAAGGATGAGACAGTGTCCTCAGGAGGGATGGGGAGTAATCTTTCAATGTCCTCAGAGCCCTGGCAGGGAACTGTGCTGAGCACCTGCCCTGTGAGGGCACTCACAACATCTCAGCTGAGGTGCAAACCAAGGGCATCATGCTCTGAAACCAGGCTCCGTGTGTATGTGTGTGCACATGTGCATTTGTGCGTGTGTGTGTGTGTGTGCATATGTATGCATGGAGAGGCCAGAGGTCAGATTCAGGTGTCATTCCTCAGGTGCCATCCACTTAGTTTTTTGAGGCATGTTCTCACATTGGCCTGAAGCTCACCAAGCAGGCTAGGCTAGCCTGGCTCTTTCTCCCTAGACTCTTGGATTACAAGCATGCCACGCTGGGCTTTGTTTGTTGATTTGTTGGGGTTTTTTTTTTGAGACAGTGTCTCACTATGTAGCCCTGGCTGACCTGGAATTCATTATTGAGGTCCAGGCTAGCCTTGAACTCATAGAGATCTGCCTGAGTGCTGAGACTAAAGGAATGAGCCTAGACTCCTGTATTCTTTTTTTTTTTTTTTTTTTAAGGAAGAGCCATGAGGCTCCTAGATTCTTTTTTTAAGGTGGGTTCTAAGGATAGAACTCGGGTCCTCATGCTTGCAAGGCAAGCACTTTACCAGCACTTTCTTAGCTGTAGAATCCAGAATTTTTACCATAAGGATTAGACCATGGGCCAGGACACCCAGAGGGCCAGGGAGGCAGCAACCTTCAATAATCGCTCCCAGAAATCAACAGTGGTCCTATCCCTCTGGCCTTGACTTTCCTGTCTATAAAATGCAATACTGATCTTTCAACCAAATGGGAGCAAATGTCAGCACTTGCAGAGCACTAAGTACAGCACCCTTCAAGGAAGGAGGTGGTTCGTTAAGTGTCGTGGTAGTAAGCTAGCCAGCCTACTCCCCGGGCTGCCGCCTCGCAGTAAAACCCCATTCAGCTTTTTCCCACCCACAAGCAGATCCAGAATGGCTCCTTGTAGAGCCTATCCTTGATGGTCCCCTGGACTCACTCACCCACACAAATCTTCTTCTGTAGTTTCTTGCCAATCTGGCTGATGGTCTTGAAGTCAGCTGTGTAGAAGTAATGTTCTGCCACAGGCTCTGAGGCGATCTCCCTCAGCTCATCCTCCACAGCATTGCCTACACCCACTGCAAACATCTTAAAGCCTGCCAGAGGAACAAATACATGAGGCTGGCCTCCAGGACCGACAGGCATAGGACCTAACCTCCTGGAGAATGCCTAGGCAGCCAGCACCAGGCACCTCCTGGTGGCTGCTGCCAGAATTGCAGGTCCAATGGCTGAGACAGAAACAAGGAATCATTTTCTGAGGTTCAGATATATATGTGTCCCCAGGCTGTGCAGTTTGAACTGGGAGTGTCACCTGGCTCTGAAATATCTACCTACTGGTTATTATTCTCCTAATTTAATTAAAATGCTAAAACTAAGAAGCAAGCTTGTCCCAAAATGAGGCTGTCTTCCAACAGTTGATGTGTTCTCAGGAACCAATGTTCAGCTTGGAAAGGTCCAAGCCTTACCAACGAAAGAGCTGTCAGGACAAGCCACTTGGTTCTCTGGGCTCAGTTTTGTCATCCATATAAAAGGGAATTGTTCTAACAAATGACGCCCACTTTGACTCTGCCTAGTTCAAAGTAATAATGAGAAGACACTAAACTACAGTGGGGCTGTACCCATATGTGCGCCAGCCACTCATGGGGTTCAAAGCCCAGCAGGCAGCACCTACCAAGTTCTTTTGCCTTCTGGGCAGCATCATTAATGTAGTCCTGGCTCCGACCATCCGTGAAGACGATGCCCACCTTCTGGGCACCAGGCCTCGCCCCACTGGACACCGTGAAGGAGTTGTCAACAAGATACTTCAGGGCAGCCCCAGTCATAGTGCCCTTCTCCATGTAGGACATGTTCCGCACAGCCGCCTTGATGTCCTTCTTGGTGTGGAAGCGGCCAAGCGGGAACTCCTGACGCACAGAGCTCGAGTACTGCACCAGCCCCACCTGGGCCAGCCTGTCTGACACGTCCAGTGTGTCCACAATCTGGTTGATGAACTTCTTCACCAGCTCAAAGTTCTCTGGCCGCACGCTCTTAGATCCATCGATGAGGAAGACCAAATCAGTAGCTGAGCCGCCGCCACCACCACTGCAGACTGAGGTGGGCACAGTGACAAACAGATGACACTCGGGGATGTGGTCACCCACCCCCACCATCGCTGGGTACTCATCATGTGCAAACTCTGTGCTGGGGGGTGGTCACCCAGTTTCATCCTCAGAGTTCCCGCTACAAAGCCAGAGTTCCTGGTGCCATTTTACAGCCTCAGAGAGAGCTAGTAAATCACAGAACTCTAAAATGATGGCACCAAGATTTCAGCTCAAGATCTGTGCCTCCCCTAACCTCATAACTATTATAGCTATTATGAGGAGAGTCCTAAGTCAAGAGAGAACAGTTAACAGGCTCACAAAAGTACCTGTTTACTTCCTACATTGGCCCAGGGGCAAAGTGCAGGGGGCCTTGGATGGGCCTCCTGGGAAGCAGCCAGGGACCTGCCATCTCCCACCTCCCTCCCCAAGGCTTGCTGGACACCCAGCCACTGACCATTGCAAGTCTTGCCATCGCTGTTTAGGGTGAAGCCCTCATGGCAGGCACAGGTGTAGGAGCCTGGAGAACTGATGCACACCTGCTCACAGTCGTGGTCCCCTGTGGCACACAGGTCTGACACCACTGGGGAGAAGGGGAGGCTCAGAATGCATGCTCACAAAAACTTTGACCTCTCAGCCAGAACACTCCTCCCTGCCTGTGGAGACCAGGACCCCTTGCATACTCAGGGAAACTGAGACTCCCTCCTGCAAACTGGATGGAGTCCAGATCCCACACTCAACCCAGAGTGGAATAGCTGCTCTGGGACCAAGATCCCTAGGGAAGGTGATAATGCTGTCAATCAAAACTAAGGTCCCTCTGAAAGGGTAGTGGTCACAAGAGCAGGGCCTTTCATCTGTTCCATTTGCTGCTGTAGCCCAAGTGTGGGGACAAACTCACACAGCAGTGAGTCTAGCACACACAGTTTGCTCAATAAAAATGTGTTATATGCAGAGTATTGAGCGCTGCACTGCACCACCGTAGCCCGCTGAATCCTTATGGGAGGGACATGCTCTTATACCCATTGCACATATGGGAAAAGATCAGGCCCAGCCTTGCCCCTGGTCCCAGACTCTGCCCCTTTTGACCAGTCACATCTCTAGGAAATCTCTACACAAGGCCCATCTCCCCTCTGCAAAGGGCTCCAAACTTTCCCAGGCCTTTAGCACCTCCAGCATCATGCAAACTTTGGGTGCCAAATCCCACCACATAGAAACACTCCATAGGGTTTTCTTGTTTTTGTTTTGTTGCTTTTTGTTTTTTTGGGGGGTGGGGTTTGGTTTGGTTTGGTTTGGTTCTTTGGTTGGTTGGTTTGGGGTTTGTTTTTGGTGTTTGTTTGTTTGTTTGTTTGTTTGTTTGTTTGTTTGTTTTGAGACAGGGTCTCACTATGTAGACCAGGCTGTCCAGAAACTCATAGAGATCTGCCTGACTCTGGCTCCTGAGTGCTGGGACTGAAGGTGAGCACCACTACCCCCAGTTGCATAGGGTTTGTTATAGACTCCCCTAACTGAGTTCCATCCGGGCAAGGTCATCAGTAAAAAGACTCTTGACATCACTTCTCTCAACTCCTTGAACTTGGCCTGCTTGGACCTTCCAGAATTATTGGTGACCAAGCCTGGGTGCTCGTCCTACGTCAGCCTGATCTGTTCTACCCCCAGCTCCTGGAGGCTGAGTCACCCATGATAATCACGTAACTGTCTCTGACATTGACGACCAGGCCTGGCCCTCTGACCTGGCCTGGCTCCTTTCTGACTGTGGATCCTGCCCAGTCCCACCCTCAGTACTCACTCTGTCTGCACTCTTGCTGTGCTCCTCCCCAAGGCCTACACCACCACCACCCATCCCTCTGTCTCCGCCCTTGCTGGGACACCACCCTGACCTGAGAGCCCCAGACTTAGTACTGCTCAGTGTTAACTCTGGACCCCTCCTCAGCCTCACCCACCGCCTAGGTTCTGCCCAGACCCGGTACTGATTGTCTCCATCCCTCTCCGGCCCGGCCCAGACCCCGCCCCAGGCTCACCCTCTGTCTCTGCCCCGCCCAGACTCCACCCCCGCCCAGGCCCCACCCCCAGGCCTGCTCTGCCGCCCACCGCAGAAGGCCTCCTGGAACTTCTTGGCCAACTTCTCAATGACGTTGTAGCTCTCCACGTAGTCCACGTGCTCATCCTGCGGCTCGCTGGCAATCTGCCGCAGCGTGGCCTTGTCCACGCGACCCACGCCGATGGCGAACAGCTCGATGCCGCTGGCCCGGGCGCGTGCAGACACGTCCCGCACGCTGTCCTGGGGCCTCCCATCTGTCACCACGATGACCACCTGCAACACGCGGGGGCTGTGATGTCCAGCTCCAGGAGGAAGCCCGGTGGCAGAGGGGGAGCTGGATGCCCAAGGGGCACAGCGGCTCGCCAGGGGCATGGCTGCTGGGAGCCCTGCATATCCCTCCCCCATCAGGAAAGAGGCCCCATGAGCCAGGGAGCTCTGCGCTCAGGGCCCTGAGTGTTCCTCAGGGGGCTTGCTGAGGCCTCAAGCTGCTGAGAGCCACGCCCTGGTGACTGTGCCCTCTGCTCTCCTTGAGGCCCCTATGGCTAAGGGTTCCATGTGTGTAGAATCTTCCGGGCTGTAAAGGCCAGGCAAAGGAATCGGTACCGTGCAGTTCTGAGTACTGACCACCAGAGGACAGTCCAGGCTCATGAATGGGGTGGGTCGCCTCCAGGGACGGCAGTGTCTGGCTGAGTTCAAGGAAGCCTATCTGGGTGAACCAGTTTACTCTGGAGATGTGCAGGTCATGCAGGTGGCACACAACATTACCATCTCTCTCCATCAGCATTGCCTGGAGCCACCGCATCCTCTCAGCCATGACCATCACAGCCGCAGCACCTCATGCCACACCATTTGGGCAGCCCCACAAATCAGACCAGCAAGCTGTCTGGTGAGTCACTTCTCTGAGGGACAGGGATGACTGGACTTGTGTGTGATGGTCTCTGTGAACACTTCTGCCACTGAGCATTTTGGGTAAATTGCTGAAGCTTTGTGTGCCTCAGTTTCCCCATCTGTTACTGCCTCCAGGCAGGACTGTAGTCATTGGTCTGCAATGTGCTTGGGAGTAGGGCACAGAAAGGGTAAGAAAGGGGCTGTCCTGTGGACAAGGGCCCTGGACAGGCAACATGGTAACTTCCCAAGCCAGAAGAGGCTGTGATAGGTACACACAGGGGCCTATGGGCATCACAGGGGAGGGACTGAACCAGCCTCTCGGGCCCATTGCTGAGCCACAGGAAAAGGACGCAAAAAGTGACATGCCCATGACTTCAGGGCATTTCCTTCATCTTCCTCTGGAACATAGCATAGCCCTCAGGGGGCTGGCAAAGTGGTGCTATATGGGGCCCGCTGGGCACCAGGCACGCTTCTGAGTACTCTGTGTCTTTGGTTTCATACTCAGAGCAGAGTTCTAAGAGAGTATTCCATTTCATAGGTGGGGAAACTAAAGCAACATGATAGGAGTTAACACTCTTTGGATGGCAGGGGTGGCATGGGGTATGGAGGCTGGAATCCAGCCAGGCTGGTGGCAGAGTTCTTTCCTTACCCAGTACATAAGCACCTAGCCTGCCTCACTCTACTTCAAGTAAAATTCCAACCCTAGGTCTGCTACTTCCAGAAGGTGACCTTTGGAATGACCTCCCCATCTCTAAAGCAGCTGTGTGGTCCACCAGGCAACACTCTAAGCAGAGAGGCCGGTGGAGCCCTGTGTCTTCAGCCCAGACTCTTGCCAGAAGCAGCCAACACCCATACCTTGCTGATGTCGGGGGACCCGGCGCGCCCACCCTCGTTGTCGCTGAAGGCTTTGGTGATGGCAAACTGCAAGGCCAGGCCGGTCATAGTGCCTGTGGACAGAGGCTGGATGCGGCGCACAGCCTGCAGCAGTGAGGCTTTGGAGCCGTAAGCCCGAAGTGGAAACTCAGGCTTGACGGTGCTGGCATAGTTGACCAAGCCCACCCGCGTGGCATTGGGCCCCACATTCAGTGACTCGATGACCTGCGACAGGAACACTTTCACCTTCTCAAACTCCACAGGTCGCACACTACGAGAGCTGTCGACAACAAACACCAGGTCGGTGGGTCTTGTCCCACAGAGGTGCCCTGAGAGGAGGGGATTGGGGGAGAAGACAGAGAACAAGGTCAAACGTCAGAGGAGCCGCCTACAGCCTACAGTGAGCCTCAGTGGCCCAAGTGGCTCCTTTGCTTGGTGTGTAGACTCAAGCACAGCATGCAGCTCAGCTCATAGGAAGGAAGGCTGGAGGATCCTTCCAGTGTTGGGCCATGAACTTTGCTCCTGAGCCTCTATTCCCTTCTCTGTGCAGTACACTGACAGTCTTCCACAGTGAGCAAAAGTCCTCGGAGACCTGCAGGGGCCAGCCCACCACATGAGAGTTTTATCTGAACTTTCTGACAGAAAGCTGGGAAGAAGGGGACCTCCAGGGTGGGCCCAGCCTTAAGGGTCAATATGGTACCCATCGCACAGCCCCCTTTCATGGGCAAAATGGAGCTGCTTCCCTCTCCGGGCAAGGGGGAAGCAAGAATTCCTGGTGCCACCTCATCACCCTGAATGGGTAAGTTCCCAGATTTCCTCCTCCCCAAGAGCAATGTCCCCCCAGGCTCCCAGAGAGACAGTCCCAACTACTGGGAGATGCCTGGAGGTAAAGTGAGGATCCTGGATATGCTATTCTGTAGCCCTGGGCAGGGATTGGCACGTTTCTGAGCATGATTTTCCCATCTGTGCCGGGGGTGCGGGGAGGGGGGGGATGACACTAAGTGTTGATGTCCTGGATGTATGGCTGGGAGGTTGGGAGGTTGGAGAGGGGAGCGCTATACACAGGCTGCCGTGCTTCACCTCTACCACATGGGAACAAACCCATCCCAGGACTGAATGAGTACCTGGAGCCCTGGCATCAGGAGGCCTTAAAACCACGCCACAGCTAGCAGCCTGCTCCCTGCTAGCTAAGGTTCCAAATTGGTAAACTGAGGCCCAGACACAGGGAATTGACAGTACTCCAAAGCTGGTGTCAGCCCCTAGTAACTCGGGGGCTAGCTCCTGGTATGGTCCTAGGCAGGTCCTTCCCCTCCAGCCTCAGTTTCCCCATCTCTACAGGAAAAGCTGAGCGTTTGAGGATTGCCAGGGTATAGCTCTGGAGAGTCCAGCTGCAGGACTGGCAGGAGGGGATCAGACAGGTGGTTTCCAGATCTCCACTCATCAAAGAGGCCCAAGCCTGGGCCTCGTGCCACTCCAGACTCCAGCCAGCTCTCTGGAAGCCCCACTCCCTGCAGCATTCATGGTCTGAGAGTCATCTGCCCTGGCCCTCACTAACATCACCGCTTCCTCAGCCTGCTGTGGCCCCCGTCCCCTCTTCCAAGTCCTGGTGCCCACTTAGCCTCCACCCATCTCTGTGTCTAGCTCCCCATGCCATTTATGAGGGGTCACTCCACTAGTGTCCCTGTCTTGCATGGTCCCCTCACCTCTGGACTGGTGGGGAAGGCCAAGGCTGCCAGGGGTCTGGAGCAGCAGCAGCAGCAGCAGCAGCAAGCCACAGAAGATGAGGCCAGGGCCAGAGCCGACTTTCATGGTTGCGACAACACAGGCAGCCGTGGCACACTGGAGGGGGCCGATGGGGGCCGCCTTATCAACTTCCCTGAGCAGGGGACAGCACCCCTGCCCCAGCCCCTGTGGGCGGGGCCCAGCTGAATGGAGGTGTGTGTGCCTGGAGAGGGCGGGAGCAGCTCACCACAAGGGCCCCTTTGCCTGCAGAAGCAACTAGAGCCGCAGCTGGAATTCAGGAAATCTCAGGTGGGTGGGGGTAGCTCCTCGGGCCAGAGAGCGTGCTGACTTGGATTTACCACCCAGGGACACTTGAGTCTATTGGCCTCGTGCCCCAAGCCTGTCCTGCACCCTCATCCCACACCCACAATTCCAACCCCAGTTTCCTCAATAAAAACACTTCCTGCCGCCTCTCTGTACACACACCATCTTTTTCATTTGACTCAATCCCACCCCCCCAGGCCACTAGGCCTTTGCATATGTAAGCCATCTGCCTAGCATGTTTTCTACCACTAATTCTATCTAGCATAATTCTCCCAGATCCTAAAGGCAACTAACATGCCCCTGTGCTTGTATGTACCAAGCAGGTGAGATGGTGGTTAAGAACAGGTGAGTGTCCAGATCATCTGCCTGTGTGACCGTGGGCAGCTTTGTGCCTCTGTGCACCTCATTCCTCATCTGGATACCAGAGATGGTGTCCGAGCTGTCTCCCAGGGCTGGTAGGAGGGGAAGAAGGCTATCTGAACTGTCTGGGTCAATCCTCACAACTCCTTTCTTCCCAATGGAAGGACCAAGTCCAGAGAGCTCAAGCCACTCTTCCAAAGCCACACAGCCTAGAAAAGGCCCCAGGGCTGTGGTCTCAGCCACATAGCTTGCTCTACAAAGCTTGGTGGCCATGGGTCTCCATGCCATGCCTGCCTGGCAAGTCTCAGGCCAGTGAGTGGTCCTGTCTAAAAAAACAAAGTATCCAGACATGGTGGTACATGCCTTTAATCCCAGCACTTGGGAGACAGAGGCAGGTGGATCTTTGTGAGATTGAGCCCAGCCTGGTCTGCATAGAAAGGCCCAGGCTAGCTGGGGCTACAGAGACCCTGTCTCGATAAAATAATAAAATAAATAAATTAAAAAAATAAAATAAAACAAAACAAGGTCATTGATCCTAGACAGAAAATTATGTCTGTCACATCTGTAGACAAACATAGTTTCTTACTGTATGCTAATATGTATCCTTATATCTAAAGACAAGGATACCTCTCACCACCCATCAAAGAAGCTTCTTTTTGCAACAAATGGAGAGTATTAGAGTTCCACAATTGATCAGACACAGAGAATAAGTCTCTGTGAGAAGCCCAACGCTAAGTGATACATCTACAACGCAACCTCTACACCTATGGGTCAGGGACCATGGCAGAACAGGGGCAGAGGGAATATTACTGCAGTTCTCATCTCTCACGAGCGAAGCTTCCTCAGGCAACAGAGGGTGATTAACACAAAAAGCCACAGTTGACCAAAATGCAGAGAGTAAAAGACTGCAGAGTGCCTGTCCCTGGATAGGACTCCCATAGTAAACCTCTGCCATGCAGGGTTCGGAGACCGTGTGGAGGACAGAGCGGTGGGAAGACTGTAAGAGCCGGGGTGGTGGGTGACCAGGATTCTGGGAACTTGTTCATATGAACTTGCAGCAATGGTGACAGCATGCACAAGACCCATGCCAACTCAAACCGGCCAAAAACCCAGCATAGGAGTGGGGAAATGGGTAAGAAGTCCCAACTTTAGCTGAGGAACTGTTGGTAAGTGACCGATAGTTGGGCAAGGGAGTTGGTCTTCTTTAAGGGAGTGATGCTAGATTGGTTGACTAGGCTCCAGTGGATGGAATCACACTGAGGAACCGCTGAAAATGCGAGTTTGACTTGCTAGGCCTTGACATACATGACAGAATGCATGAAATCTAGAGGGCAGGCCATGGCGGAGTGCAGATAAGGGAGGGGGTCTAAGTATGATTACGATGTATTGTATGAGGGGCTGGAGAGATGGCTCAGCGGGTAAGAGCACTGACTGCTCTTGCAGAAGACCCAGGTTCGATTCCCAGCACCCACATGGCGGCTACGAACCGTCCTTAACTCCAGTTCCAGGGGAATCTGAAGCCCTCTTCTGACCTCCTCAGCATTGCACGACACAGGTGCACTCACACCCTCTTCTGACCTCCGCAGCATTTCATGATATGAGTGCACTCACGTATATGCAAGCAATGCACTCATACACATAAAATAAAAATAATAAATAAAATATTTTTAAAAGATGTATTGTATGAAATGCACACAAATTCAGTAAAAAAGAAAAAAACTAAAAAAAAAAAAAGTAGAGAACAACACCTGAGGTTTACCTCTGACTTACGCGCGCGCACACACACACACACACACACACACACACACAAACATATACACCTGCACACACAAATGGAAACAAGCACCCTGACACACATATGCAAATATAAAAAGAGGAGAGAAAGAGAGGGGGTCAGGCACAAGTATGCACACTCTTGTGTCCTACCACATGGGGCGTGTTCTGCCTGGAGATGTTGCCAGCAAGCTCTTCAGCAACCTTGGACATCTAGAACCATGAACACTGTAACTTTCATTCCTTTATAAAGTCGTCCAGCCTGAAGCACTTTGTTGTAGTAATGAAGACTGGACCCACAGCCAGGAACAGTACCTTCCATTGCACCATCCTGGAACTGACGGGCAGGAAAGAACACAGGTATAGCCGAGAAGTGCAAGTTCAAAGGCATTTCTGCTGTAGAGAGCTGTGTGACCTGAGGCTGCTGGTTTCACCTCTCTGGGCCTCTTAGTTTGTCATGGTGATATGGCTGGCATGACTCATGGGACCACCTGGGGAGGCATCATGAGGACAGGGAGAAAGAAGGGAGATGGATTCGGGGGTTGTCACTGTTGTGGGGACAGAATCCAATCGGCAAGGCCCCATATGCTTCACTCTGGAAGCTGCACCTTGCAGAAAAGAAAAATACAGAGAAGTTTAAAATGGCACAGCCAGGCACAACAGACCCAGTCCACAACCCCCATCATTGTCAGCAGTTACAACACCATCTCTCACCCTCAGTGTAGCAGTCTCTTGGTCTCCTGTGTGTGCCCAGCAAACCTGTGAGGTTGATAGTCCTGATGGGGTCTATCAGCCCATTTGTCAGATGGCAAAACCAAACCCCAGAGAAGTCCGGTAACTAGTCTGAAGTGACCCAAACAGTTAGGGGCAGAGCTGAGGCTGGAGGTACAGGTCACCTTCCCCTTCCTGACTGTGTTAAAGAAAAAGGAAGTTCATCTCCCATTTTAGTTTCATTTGTCCCTAATTCTCAGCTTTCTGCAAACCCAGAAGCTGGTGTGGCTGCTGACCCCTCCAGAAACTGCAGGACCCACCTGTCCCTTCCCCAGATTATGATGGGGGGGCTGCCCCCCACCCAGGTCTTTCCAGTCTGCTTCCTGTTCCTGGTGCCCAGGGACTGTTCAGAACAGATGAAGAAGCAGTTAACAGAAGGAATGAGTGATGAACAGGGTCCCATCTCAGTCACAGCAGGGGCAGCAATGATGGTGCTAGCTCGGGCTTCTACAGTGTAGACAGGGAGAACCTGAGCCAGCGCCCCTCCCTACCCAGGGACAGAGCCCTGTTGCTGGGCCCAGCTGGGCCAGTGAAGCCAGCCTTTCAGCTCCCTTCTGAATGGCCAGTCTGTGCCCCCAGGAGTAGCACAGGGACCTTCTCTGTGTCGCTTCGCTTGTTAGCAGAGCCCCAGAAATATGCCACAGGTAGGCTTTCAGAACAGAGCGAGTTCCAGAGAGAAGGGAGGTTTTCACATTCCATGGTAAGGCTGCCGGCCAGGGGTACCTGGAAGTTCAGCATATACATTGAGGACAGAGAAAAGAAATATTTGTGTTTTAAAATTGTCTCACATTTTTCCCCTGGCCTTAAAATCAGGAACAATCTGTCCAGTGTTGGGGGAAGGGGATATGGGATGTGATGACATGTGCCCTCCATTTCTGCAGCCTCCCAGAAACCTACGGTGCCCAGATCTGCTCAGAGGACGTGTTTGCCCCAGCCAAAATGCAACTCAGTGGGATGCCTACAGGTCTCCCTCTCCAGTGCTCCCACACAGGACTCCCTCTCCAGTGCCTGCTCACAGGCCCCACACTTTCCTCAAATAGCAAATAGTCACAAACCAAGAAACAGCCACTTCCACAGTAGTGGGGTCCCAGCACTCCTCCCCCCCCACCGCCACTGGCAGGTTTTCTGAATCCCCTAAAACCTTTACCATTATTTTTTTTTTTTTTTTTTTTTTGAGACAGGGTCTCACTCTATAACTCAGGCTGGCCTCAAACTCACAGCAATCCTCCTGCCTCATCTTCTTAAGTACTGGGATTACAGGTGTGAGTCACCACGATCAGTGTTAAATATGTATATGTGTGTGTGTGCATGTGTGTGTATGCGGGCTCTCACTCATGCACAGCCATGTAAAAGCCTGCGGTGTTCACCAGGTGTCTTCCTGTATCAATTTCTACCTTGTTTTTTTTTTTTAAAACAGAGTCTATCGGTGAACCTGAAACTCCCCAATTTGGCTACACTGGCTGGCCAGCAAGCCCCAGGGGACCCAAATGTCTCTACCTGCCCCCACCAGGCCTGCAGTTACAGACATACATCAGTCACCACTCCTGGTTTTTACATGGGTGCTGGGGATTCGAACTCAGGTCCTCATGCTTGCACATCAAACCCTCTCAGCATCTCCCAGCCCCACAGTCTTTAACTCTGAACCAAGTCATGTTTTAAAACTTTCTCATCCTGCCGAACATGGTGGTGCACATCTTTAATCCTAGCACTCAGGAGGCAGAGGCAGGCAGATCTCTGTGAGTTCAAGGCCAGCCTGATCCACATAGCAAGTTTAAGGCCAGCTAGGGCTACAGGGAGACGCTGTCTCAAAAAGGCCAAAAAAAAAAAAAAAAAAAACCTTTCTCATCCTAATAAAATAACAGCCATGAAATCATTGGTTTGAGGCAATTTGTATATTTATTCCAATTCAC